TTAATAAAACATCAGGACACCTGAATATACTAATTAGGACTCTTCATACTTTAACTTAGTATTAGTAAAAATTGTTTGAGCTATTTAACCAACACATACAACAATAACCCTGTTAAACAAACCATTATTGTCAGAAATCGAAATTTTCCTTTATATGGGGCATACTGCAACAAAACCAGACAAAGTAAACATTGGTATTACCAAAGCTTTCAGGGATCAAAATTTAGTAATGTGATTATTAAAATCTTCCGTTTGTTATCCTCTTAATATTAGGTGATATATAGGATTATCTCTAGACAAAAATAGTTAATATGAAACTCATCTACATCAGATCTACTATGGAACCCAAGAATTATAGTACCATTAGAAGTATTTTAAAAAAGGAACAAGGTGAAAAAATTGCTCCTTACATTTTCAAAATAAATGATACTCAGCTTATCTAAGAAAAGAAAAGATTATTTATGAAATTTACCAAGAAGAAAGGAAAATAATAAATATTGGAAAAAGAAAGCATTATGATGATGCATTATTACCTAATAAAAGTGAAAATCTTTAAAAGGAAAATAACTACCATTTTCTTTGATAGTTGGAATTACACTGTGGACAGGCGACCCTGAACCACTTCTCCTACTGCAGCCATTGATAATCTTTCATAAAATTGGAACATTTTATTTTTATTACCTTATAATTATATTAATTCATTTAATTTATTATTATCTTTATCAATTTTGTGCCATTACATCATCATATACGGGCGATGATCCATTCATTTACTTAATAGTAATTCATTCAATTAATTTTTTTATTATTTATTAATTACCATATTTAGTATTTTATTTTCAATAATTGTATAAAAAATATTATTAAAAAGATTAATATTGTAGAAGGAGCTGGAAACTTTCAATGCTTACAAATTGAACTTGTGGAAATCACAAGGACAAGAAGTAAGTTGAAGAAGGATCCAGCAACTTAGTAATCAAGCACATGTAGTTGCAGGAAAGCCCCAAACTTCTACAATATGCTATTTTGTAATACCTTGAAAATGTATTTAAAGAGAGGAATTTCTTACTTTCCTCTTCATGATTTTTCAGAATTTATTAATAATAATAAAGCAACAAAAGTGAAATATAATAAAAATCGATACATATACAATTTTAACCCTCTCAAATATTTCCATGAAAAGCAATAATAATCGTTATATTTAATATACAACAAAAACACTTAACTTTAATTAAATAATTATTCTTTAATCCAATGGGGATGCCTGATGGGTTTGTAAATACTTAGTATTTACGAGGAAGGCTGGCCAGCGGTTAAGACTTAATTATTTATTAATTAAGCAGGAAAGACTTAGTTATATTTAAAGAACTAAGCAGTTGAAAGACCTAAAAAGGGATGTTAATTGTCCAGAAGACTTAGTTATATTTGAAGAACTAAGTGGTTGAAACACCTAAAAAGCAGACAGTATTTGGAATTTCCCTGACGAATTTGGGATTTAGAAATTATTTTTTGTTTAAGTTATTTTATTTTATTTGGTATTTTATTATTTTATTATTTGGAGAAGGAGTAAAGAAATTAATTAGAATTTCTAAGTAAATTTAATTCATATAAAACTGAACACAAAATAAATTAATTGTGGACGGTAACACAAATTAAATTAAATTGAATTATTGTTAACTTGAATTATTTCAAGGATAACGCAGTAAATAAATAATCGGACACTCATTGTAACTCTAGCAAGTTACAATACAGAGGGAAATTTCCTCAATTACTTTTTTATTTTCAATCAAGATCATCTTTTAGTCTCTTTGACTTCAATTTGAGCAGTTAATTGACCATTTTGCTATTGTAGTTGTGCTAATTGAGTTTTTAAATCACTGATTTCTTTTTCATAAGCAGTTACTTTATCAACTAGTCCTTGTGGAGTTAATTTTTTCAGCCTTTCTACTTCAATTTCTAACTCTTTTATTCTATCCAAGAGTTCTTGCTTTTGTCTTTTACTCCATTCTTCAGATTTCTCTTGAAACTTAGCCACTTCTTCTCTTTCAATCTCCAATGCCTCTTCAGTCTCATTTAGCTGTTCTTGTAAAGAATTTATTTGTCTTTCATAAAAAGCAGACTGACTTATTTCTTCATCAGGTAAGAGGGGAAGTTCCTTCTCTTCCAAGTCTTCATTGTTTCTAACACAGTAGCAAAGTCGTCGGAGGAGGGGTATGGCGCTCCGAAAATTTTGTCGCTCCCCTTGATATATCGCCCCTTTGTGGCTCCAATACCAAAATGCTATCCAATATACTGGTACAAATACATATAATATCTCTTAGTACCAAGATGGTACCAAAGATTGTACCAAAAAAATACATAAATACTAATCAATTTACTTTCCAAATAATCCAAAAACATCAAAATCAACATCATCAATCATTGGTACAATGGTACAAGGACAAAAATCAAAATCTAGAGGAAACTATGCTCCTATATATAATTTTCCCTGAAATATCCTTGTACCTTTGTACCAACCCCCTTATTATACCAGGAAAGTATTAAATCCATATCTAGAACATCAAATTCGATATTAGGCTGGTACAAACTGCCCTTTTGCCCAAGTTATAACCAAAATTGTACCAATTTCCTCTATACTTCCTGTGTAAAAAAACGAATTGAATTAACCCACATTATAGGTATCACACAAAAAAATTTATTCGAATACCTCAACCAAAATTAAACAAATCCAATATTAGTATTATTATCAAAAAATGAGTACACAAAGTCAACTCCCAGTTATTCATAGGAGACAAAGTCTTGAGTCTCCAACTCACCCATTAGTTATACCCGAAATTCTTGAAAATATATTCAGATACCTCCCTACAACAGCATTGGTTAGAGTAACCTATGTTAGTAAACTATGGAGATTAGGGGCCAGAAATAAACTTTATCAAAATCGTAGTGAAATTATATATGATTTCCATAAGTGGTTCTTGAACACATTCAGGCTTAAGTGGGGTATTCCTCAACAATTAATGCCAGATTTTCATGTATCTATTGCCAAAGCTAAAAAATTTCGAGAACTTTTCAGTTAAATATTAAGGCAGAACTACTTATTATAAGAGACCAACTACAGGATAAGTATACATCTATGGCAGTGGCATATAAAGAAAAAATCAAGCCTTTGTAGAATCCCATGAATTATTTCATGTTGATCCAGGAAATATTGTAAATTATGCTAATTACCAAAAATTGGATAGAGAATGAATGCTTATTCAACATAATAGATTCAATTTACACCGAGAATTAGTAAACTTTGAGTATTATCTATTAAGAATGAATATCATTACAGATCTTGATGAAATTGACATCATTATTGATAAATGCACAAATCTTCAGGATGAGGAGGAAGAAATGATATGGGTAGAACAATTCTCAAATCCCAGTAATATTTATTCTGATGCTGATTTTGATGATTCCTTTAACTTTTGGGATGATCCCAATTCTGATGAATTTATGAATGAACTCTTTAATGAACATGACCTGACCTAATAAGGTTTTTACTACTTCTCTGCCATAATCTTCTTAGCGAGTTTTAAGGCCTTCTTATTATTCTCTTTGGCCCTTTCCTTTTTTTCCTTAGCAATAGCTTCTTCAGCAGGAGTCTTTAATTTAATCGATCCATCTTTAGATACAAAAGTATGTTTATTAGTACCACAAACAACACATTTGCCAATTAATTTTTTTCGACCACTTTCAGTAGTTTCCAATCTCTCAGATACAGAATTTGTTTTGGCACGGCATTTAACACAATAAGTTTGAGCCATCTTTTAAACTTAAGATACATTATTTCAAATAGGATTTCAAAATGTCAACACCAATAGATCGTTACTATAAACTCTTTTCATTATCTGGAGTGTCTCCCAAATTATTAAAGAATGAGGAACACTTCAATCTCCATGTTAGACCAAAAAAAGAGAAGTGTTCAGAACAACCAAAAGCAATTGTCTGGGAGGCTAATGCAGTACAAGATTCAGATTTACTAGAGTTACCAATGGATCCAAAAGGATATCTATATTCACATATAGTTATTGATGTTTCAACTCAGGATTTGGATGGAAATCCACTCAAAAGTAAAGATGCCAAAACAGTACTAGATTCATTCAAAAGTATTTATGAACGAGGTCATGTAAAACTTCCTACTTTCAGAGTCAACACTGATACTGGAAAAGAATTTGATAATCATTTATTCCGAGATTTTTTCACAAAGGAAGTTAAAGTGCTAACAAAATTTGGATTTCCTGGAAAACATAGACAGCAATGCTTTGCAGAAAAGTTCAATCAAAAAATACAAGGCCTATCTTGGAATGAATGAATGCAGAGGAAATGTTAACTGGAATAACTTCTGTAGAATGGTCCAATGATTATCCCATGCTGATAGAGGCTATTAGAAAGGAATGGAAACGCGATCCTCTTCCTATTCCAGAAGGTCTTCCTAAAATTTCGAATAAAGATGATTTACTACAAGAAGGAACTCAAGTTCGAGTTATGTTATTTGAGCCTAAATCTGTACTTGGACAAAAATTACATGGCAAATTCCGCACAGGTGATATTAGGTGGGATCCAGAAATTCGAGTAATTAAAAAACTTATATTAAGTCCTGAGCAACCACCAACATATCTTGTTAATGGCCCTCATGGCAAGTTGGGAGTATCACGTTGTGCATATACTAGAAAACAACTCCAAGTAGTTCCAGACAATGAGAATCCCCCTCCAGATTCAGTTATTCATAGTAAACAATATAAATTCATTCCGAAAAAATTCTTAAGCAACGAACTTACAAAGGTAAAAACAATACCTTGTTAAATGGCACTGATATCCTGAGAGTGAATCAACTTGGGAACCAGCAAATAGATTTAAAGAGGATGCACCTAATCTTGTAAATGAATTTCTGGAGTAAAAAAATAGCAGAGCTAGCCGGCTAATTATATTTCAATTTTTTTGAAATGCATATATAACTAATGATTTAATGCTTCCAAAACTGGTGAATTCATTTTTTTGTGCTCATCTCTTGCTGGAATTATAGGGATAAAGAAGTCCTTTCCATTACAAGTAATAGCCATATGCTTTCTAGATTCAAGTAAATCATAGTTATATTCTCTAAGACGAGGTCGGTTCAAAATAAGCTCATGATATGGATAATTTGCAATTACAGCAAAATCATCTGTTATAGTACATCCTGGTGCCAAAGTTATTTTGACATTTTTAACTGTACCTAACGATTTAATGTTAGTTGATGCTCCAGAAAGTTTGCAAATTTTATTTGTATCAAGTATTAATCCAAGTTCTTTATAAATCTCTTCAGGCATAACAGACTTATTGCAACATGAATCTATAAGAATTGGGAGTTTTAATTTTCCCTCTACTACACCTTCAACAGATGCTAAATCTTTTTTATTATCTAAGCGCAAAAGATCGATATCCATAGAACCATCAGAATAAGCTTCACTAAACTTCTGAATTTCTTTGCTTGTAGTTTTCTTAGTTAATCCCAAATGAGTCAATTCCTCTATAATTAATTCATGAATAATTTTTCTCAAATTTGTGGTATCAATTGATATCCCCTTACTCTTTGACTCTTTTTTCCCATCCTTAGTCTTAGTAGGAGGTTTGTTTTCCATTACTTTTTTTTTCGAACTAATTGGAGAGTATATTCATCATCATCAGTAGCAATTTCACGAATCAAATTAGTAGTATCCATAGGATCAGGAACAGGATCATTAATATTAAGAGAATAAATTCCACTGGAAAGGTCTGCAATTTCCTTATCAAGTCTTCTTTGTTCAAGCCTTTCAGCAATTCTATTTGCTATTCTATTAGTGTCAGAGATTGGCTTTATATATTGAGATTTACGCAATTGTTCTTCATGAAATTCAGTTGGATCAGAATTAAACATTTTATTCCATTCCTCAACAGTAAGATTTGTTTGGACTGGCTTTTTAAAATGATCTAGGACTGTTATTGTTTTAGTAGGAATTTCTGTCTCAATATTTTTTTGATATGGAACTTTTGGAATTTTTGCTTGTAATTCCTGAATCTGTAACTGAAAATTTTGTGTAATTTTTTCAGTAGCACTTTTGATCATTCTATCCACATCTTCTGGCGAAAATCCAGAATGACTTGGCTTATGTGATCCTGCTGATGTAGGCTGTATTTGAGCTTGATGGTCAGTACCTCCTGTTCTCTTGGATAGGCCCAATCTCATTTCAGATTTTCGTTTTTCAACTTTTTCTAAATTTTTAACTAATTCACTTACAGTTTTTTCAGCCCCAATTCGTTCCACTTCAAGTTGATTGTCTGGAGATAGCCCCCTAAAGAATTGATGATTAACTACTTCATCGCCAAAATTCAGTAGTTTGCCATATTTTTTAACTTTTTCATAGAAAGTTTTTAACCGGATCATTACCTTGATCAAGAGTACCTTGCATCTTTCTTCTAATACTGAAGGATAGAAGTTTTCAAAGTAGTAAATAGCTTGACCGAGCTGAATTCCAACTAATATTATAGGAACAGCACCACTATTTCCAGCAAATCTAGGTGCATCATCTGTAAGCACTCCACCAGAATTAGTCCAATCTTCTGCAAAAGCTTTTGGTGGGACCATTCTAGCCTCTACAGCCCCTACTGTAATTGCATTATTTCCAGGACGATGTGCAAAGGCATGTGCCAAAGAATGCAGTCTAAAACTATTAGAAGTATTCATCTGCGCCATAGTTCTAGCTTGAAGATTTGCTGTAGTATTTACAGTAGTATTGTCATATATATCAGTTAACATCCAATTTTTTCCGAGTATTTCTTCATCATACCAATCACCAGCAGGTCCAGACAAAGCACTTTGGAATAGACCTGTAGCTTGAACTCTTTGTGCATTATCTCTTACATTAATATTAATACTATCTAGAAACCCATGAAATCTCCTGACAAAAGTAGTTATATCCTCATCCATACCGCCTGAAAAATTAGGTATTGCTACTGAAACTCCAGCCATGTTGATTTTAATATGAATATCAAGGCTTCAATTTGAAAAGCCTACGAGCCAAATAACATCAGGATTTCTGGCTCTTTGTTTCCATTTTACATATTTTTGTTGGAATATTTGTAATTGCCCAACAGGGTTTTTGGCTCTTTGTTTCCATTTTATGTGTTTTTGTTGGAACATTTGTAATCGTCCATTATGGTAGTTATAGGCCTGGACAAGTGGATTGTGGATATTATTAATAAATTGATCCCGAGCATTAACAAATTGAATATGAGTATTATTAAGCTGAGCATGAGCGACATTAAGCTGAAGAAAATCCTGATGAAGTTGATTAAGATCATTCTGGGCCTGTGCAAGCTGATTATTCACCTGATTGAATGCCTGAAGATTTTGCTGTAATTGGGCCTGAAGTGGCGCTAATTGATCATCATTCCATTTAGCAATATCTCGGAGCCTATGTGTAAATGTAGTAATTTCATTAAGCTTATTTACTGCAGTCCTCTGGTTTAGAGTAGAATTATCCGGCCTTTGTATGAACTCATCAAGACTTCTGCATGCAGAATTAATTCTATCAGTACTTACATCAATCTCATTTGGACTAGGTGGCTGTATTTGGCATTGAGAAGACATTTTTGGCTTCTTATTAAGTGTTGAAATTTTATCTTCTAATGCTATAAATTGTTCTTCTCTAAAAACGATAAATTTTTCTTTAGACTCTATATCCTGTAAAGCCTTCCGGAGTTGAATTGATAGATTTTTATTATCCTTTTTCAAAGATTCAATTTGTGCTTCATGTTGTATTAGGGATTTACCCAAATAATGAATTTCTAAGTTGCTATGCTCAAGATCTCGCACTAATGATTTAATTCTAGTTTCATTATTTAGATATGATCTCATCATCCTCAGCCAACTGTTTGCACAATTCTCTATTAGTCCAAGCAATTTCAGCTGTTGGGCAATTTGAAGTACTAAACCTTCGATTCATGATCCAATTAAAGATATAAATCTATAACTCTAATAGCAACTATGGAATATTTTGTGTACAACATTGATGAATACCAACCTTTGAAACAGGGAAATGAATTTGCACCAATATCGCCATTTCGAATGGTTGTATCTGGAAGTTCTGATTCAGGCAAAACCACTATGATCCTGAATCTTATAATGGGTACTAAAAAGGTAGATAAAGAAAATGGTTCTCGATATATTTTATGCAATGATATAATTTTAATTGCCAAATTTCCTGATGAGCCAAAATGGAATATTGTTAGAGATTTTTTTTAATGATCTTGCAAAAACTGAGGATGTATCATTTAAGGCATTATCTCCTTCTGAAATTCCAGATATCGATACATTTAATCCTGAAAGATCTACTGTTGTAATATTTGAAGATCTTATGCACGAATCTAAAAAAATACAGGAACAAATTGCTAAATATTTTACTCATGGACGCCATAGGAATATATCCCCAATATATGTAGCACAAAGATTCTTTGCCATTTACAAAACAATTCGGGATAATGCTACTTATATCTCACTTCATAGAGGAGGAGGATCCATATCTGATCTCAAAAATATTATAAGTCAATATACAGAGCACTCAGATCATCTAGGATCAATCATAGATGATCTAACATCAAAACGAGAATTTATTGTGTTTGATCTTAGACGGTCCAAGAATGATCCACTATCAATCAGAGTTCGATGGGATAAACCATTAGAAGTCCCAGATGGATTGAAAACTCAAATTTCTGATTCTTCATCAATTAATATTATAGATGAGTTATCCCAGAGTAAATTTAGCATTGCAGGTAAAGAAGCAATAACACAAGCTAAAAAAGAAAATTGCATTGTAGAGTTTGCTGGAAATTTTCCTTTACCACCTGAACGTAAAAAATTATTGGCTAATAATGTAATTGCTAAAAATAGCAATATGTGGGCCAGATTAGTATATTGAGAAGCTTTTGGGGTAAAAAATAAAGAACTTGGTGCTGGATGGCACGATTTTGCTCAAAAAATCAAAGAGAGAGTAAAGCTATTACAGAATAATGAAATTTCTATACCTCAAGTTGATAAATCCCGTCCAGATAAAAATTCATATTTTCTTCATTATAAAGATCTTTTGGATTCAAGGCCATTGGATGAAAAAAGATATATAGAGGGATGTAAAATACTTACCTGGCTTCTTTCAAATGGCCATATAGATCAGAAAATACATCATGTTGGGATCAAAGAATTGAATGATTCCCAATAATTAAAAGATTAAATTTCTGAAGGCTCAAATTCCGTTTTTTTGGAATATTTCTGATAATTCATCTTTTGATGCACGAACTATCACTAAAGATCTCCACTTGCCATTATGCTTTTCTCTTGTTATTAATGTTTTTAAACCTAAAGCTGTAAATGCTCTTGAAACTTGATTTTTACTGAGAGGATTATCTACACTATCCGCATAACTATTATAGAAGTTTGTAAAAGTTTCGTTTATTTCAAAGTATTCATTTTCAGAAACTTATAAAATTGTATTTCTTTACTGGAACTAGACGAATTGTTGATAAGCTCTAATAACCATAATTTGATATATTCAATATCATATGATCGATTATGATTTTCTATCATTTTTTCAAAAGCTTTTGATATAATTTTTTTTGGAGTTCTCCGATGTTTCCAACCTCTTTATATACTACTACTACACATTCTGGAAAATACTATTCATATTACGTTTTTATATTGCGTGTATGTGGAAATCATAATAATAGGTGTAAAAATGCGCGTATGGGCAATCATAATAAAAATGATTAATTTTCTATGGACGATCATACAAAAAAAAATTTATCGTTATCCCTCGTTATAGCGGACCCTCGTTGTAACTGATTTTAGACGTTATTACTAATACTAATCGGATTTTATATGCGGAGCCAAAATGTTTAAAAGTTCGTTATAGCACGTATTTAATTGATTACATTTCGTTATAACAAGGTTTGACTACAAATTGAATATACATTGCGCATAAATATACATAAAATGATTAATATAATAAAAAGATTAAAAAATCTCGAACTACTTGATGAAGCTATTGCCGACGAAGATGGCTCCTGGGGCAGTACACCGGAAGGATGGGAAATACATCTTGAAATATTAATAGCAGGTGGCGCAATCGAAGAGGACCTTTCATTGTATGATATAATTTACTACTCATGCCCATATGTTAAACTCGATGGTTCTATTTGCAATAATAATTGTAGACGAATAGAGGGATGTTATGAACATTGGAATAGAAAAAATAAAGGGCCTGGTAACCCATGTAAAATCGAATCGTGTAACAAATTTACCCGTAGTTCAACCGGACGTTGCCATACACATAGATAATAATTAATAACGGCGCAGTAATGTAAAAATTTCTAACATTCGTACCACGTAACTTGATTAGCGTTTTTAACATGGCATTTGCTTTCTTTTTCAAATTTGAGCGTTTTTAAAATTTTTGAAGCATTTTCTAGACAATTAATAGATGGTGGCTTTGTAGGATCTTCTTCTAGAATAAATCCATCTGTATGAACCCGTCTTACTTTATCTTTATAAGGCTTAATTTGACTAGATATTATTTTTCGTCCCTGTGCTAGAATAAATGGAGCAATTCGGGGATACTCACCTTTAAATAAATTTCCGGGGTTTGAAAATTGTAAAGTCCAATGTTTATCTCCTACTGGAATTATACTATCTAAAATTTCTCCTTCCGGGTTTTTGAATAAATCTACCATGCCTTCACTAACATCATAGTAAGATTTATTTCTTTGGCACAATGCTCCCCATAAAGTATTTAGAACTCTTTTTGATACTTGTCCAATAATTCCCCTTTATTTTTTAGTTTGAAAAGGAAATTTACATATTCTCCAAATATAATTTTTCCCGGAATTCTTGTTTCCTTTTCATATACTAACGAATTTGGAAAATTATCCTGAATTAATTTAACTTGAAGTCCCAATGTTCTGGCATAGGATAAATCAGTATGAGTATATTTGTTACATTTATTATATCTGAATAATACTTTCATATCTTTTTTATATTCAACTTCTGCCCAATATATTCCATATATGGCATAATCACCATTTTCATGTTTTTTAACAAAATCTTTAAGTATTTGGAATTTTCCTTTACTAATTGGAAATGTAATTGCTGATTGCATAATACTGGGATATAAGCTAGTTTCATCATACTGCCGGCCATATCCTTTCCAATCATTTTGAGCCCAAATAATTCCACCCACCATTGCGTTAGAAATCCATATTGCTTCCATAGGATCTAATGCTTCATTGGCTCGAATTGCCTGGCTAAGTCTTTCAAGTAACCATAATGCAACTTTCTTATAACTGCCATGACACATGAATAAATCAATTGATAAGCCAATTTTTTTAGATTCTTCTAGCAAAATATTTCATTCCTCATGTATTCTTGTATAAGCTTCATCCAATGATTCATAAATTCCGGAATTTTTATCTTTGACAACTGGAATATAACAATTTTTCCCAAAACGAGATTTTGATTGTAACTTTTGCCATTCTATAGTAGTAACAGTGCATACATCTTTTCCATTAAAAATTTTTACAGTATTATTTATTCCATCCATTTTATATATTAAAGGTTCCTTTGGCTTAGAAGTAGTAGTATTAATTTTGAATTGATCTGGATTTGGTGTAATGGAATAATGCCCATCAGCAAGTGTAAGAGTAATTTGTCAATGAGCGGTATTTTTGGAAATTCGGGTAAAATCTCCAACTATATTAATTGCAATAGTTTTAGCTAATTTTTCTACTTTTTCAATAAGTTCTACTGGAACTGCTTCATTCCTTTGTAAGCCCAAAGCTTGCTTAAGAATTTCTGGCTTTTTGATAATTTTTGGAAGGTTTGAAAATGTTCCATAAGCATGATATAAACATTGATAAAGACAATCATTTAGACCGCTGTCTTTTTTGGCATTACAACCACCTGATAATGCTGGAGGATCCATCATGTAAATAATAAATCGATTATAAGATCCAGGATCTCCTCCACCTTCTGGCAATTGGGACTCATCATAATGATCTAGCAATGAAAATAATGATATATCTTCTCCATCCTCAAACCATGAGCCGGGTTTCCACTGCTCATAAGGAAGAAGAACTTGAAATTTTTTATTTGGAATTCTAGTCCTAAGTTTTTCTATTTCATGATTGATTCTTTTTCTGGAAAAACTTCTACCGGTATAATTGATTTCAGTGATATGTTGCCGAGTTGGCAATCTTTGATAGTTTATATTAATTGTATTGATTGGCATTTTATTTATTGTATATAATTATTCAATATGAAAATTTATAGAATATATAAAAAAAAATATATATCCACAAAATGTATACAAAGCAAATACCAGCATAGTACATTGGCTTAATTATTATGGAATTTATCTAGTTCCTTATAATCAATATATTCATTTTCTGAGAATTCCTCTTCCTCCTCAGCTAATGTACATTCTTTTTCATTAATGGTTTCTGGTTCTGTATTCCTATTATCCTGGCAATTTTCATCATATTCAGCACATAAGAGGTCCAAGCATTCATCAATAGAAAATTCTTCAATCGGGTTTTCTAGTTTTTGGGTTTCATTATTTTTTGTAATCTTTAGATGTTCAGGTTTTGGTGGAACTTTTGGCGACATCTTTTTAAACACTGGTACAGATGATTTACTACATTCAGCTGGCGATTCTAAAGACACTTCTGGTTTTTTATTTTTAAGAATTGGTTCATCAAATTCCAAACCAGATGATTCATATACTTCTTCTTCATCAAATTCTGAACCAGATGATTCATAGACTTCATCAGCATCATCATCATTTTCTAGTTTGGGAATTGAATTAGTAGAATTAGTAGAAGGGCTTTGAAGGGGCAAGTCTAAAGGCGCTTCTTCTGATGGGAATTTTTCAGGGGATTTCAATGATAATTCTATACTCTCTGTATGTTGGTATCCCTCCGGTTCATTAATATTTTCGGCTTCATCAATCATATTCTTTTTCTGGAATATGGTATAAATATCATTATATGAAGCTGAATACCATTGCATTTTTTTATTGGTTTTTTGATCTCCTACTCTTTTTGACTTAGTTTTTATCCCTAACTCTCCAATTGCACGAGTAAATTCCTGTACAATAGGCGGTCTTTTTTTGATGCCAAACATTTCCCGAAACCAGTTTTTATATGTATTATAAAGGTATGTAGAAGCTAAATCAAGATCTAAAGACTTGCATAAATATTCCTGCTTTATAAACTCATGGATTGGGTTAATATCCCTGCTTGTCATCATTAGCTTAGTTTTACTCATAGGGATTTTGCATTCATTAAAATCTGGATTAAGTTTTACATATTCTAGTGCATAAGAGTAGAATGCTTTTCCAACTTCTGGATTTTTTATAGCTTTATCCAGTGGGGCATAATAATGATCCATTCCAATTCCATTTTCAACATACTTTTCAGAGATATCCGGAATAAAATATCTTCGGTCATTTTTATCAAGACGAATTGTTTTACTATTATTACTGTTAATAATTAAATTTGTAATATTAGTAACCGAATATGGAGTCTTATGCTTTTCTTCTATCCTCAAAGAATCACTATCAATAAAGTCTTTGAGCCAATTTGCAAAAGTAATCCAATCAGTGGATTTTGAGTTAGACATTTCTTCAAGAACCAATAAAACCCTACCTTCTAATTCTTTGTTAAATTGTCCTGTAATAATTTTTTCATTGGTGGTTTTCATAGTAATCTTTGAGCCAAGGACCATTTCCCGAAGGAACCATGTAAGCATTGTTTTACCTGTTCCCGGACCAGAATAAAGGAACATTGATTTTTGCATTTTCTGGCCAATTGCTATCCTTAGAATTAATCCCATCATATAGAGTTCTTGCTTTTTATCTGATGAACAAAGTACTTCTCTCATATGGTTAAGAATTAAATTTACCTGATTACGAATTTCTTTGCTAAATTGATGGAATGGAGGTGGGTTGGAATGAAGAAATCCCGGAAAATTATTAATAATATATTCTTCAGATATTGGATGTTGATAAGTTAGTGGTTTAGTTGGATCAACATTAATAATGAAGATAGTCGTTTCCCTAAAGAACCAGTTTTGTATATTAAACTTTTCTACCCAATTGCCATGTTCAAATTCTGCTGTTTCATTCTGGATAAAAGACTCACATGCATCCTTTTTATTAAAATGCTTGAAGGTCTTAAGAGCAGGAACCCATTTGTAAACACCGGTTTCTCCACATGCAAAGTATCCTAATAAATAGGTTAAAGCTGGTTGGAGTTCTTTGCGAGATTTGGCTTTATAAAAAAGATCTCTAAATTTATTTTGATTAAATTCTTTGGAAGGTGTACCTAATATACTACTCATTTTTTGATAATAATACTTTGTACCTGGATTTGTTTAATTCTTTGGTTAATTATTCAGATAAATTTTTTTATGTAATACCTATTATGCAGATTAATTCAATTTGATTTTTGCACGGGATATTTTTTTATGTAATATGTATAACATGGGTTAATTCAATTTGTTTTTTTACACATAAAGTATAGAGAAAATTGGTCCAAATTGATCTAACAATTCGTTTTTTATACATAAAGTATAGAGAAAATTGGTCCAAACTGGAAACCCAATTCGTTTTTTTACACATAAAGTATAGAGAAAATTGGTCCAAATTGATCTAACCGGTCTGAAAGGGGTCTTTGGACCAGCTTAGTATCTGATTTAGCCTTCTAGCTATGGAAATAATGCTTTCCTGCTATAATTCTTGGATTGGTCCAAAGGTCTTAGGAAATTCCGGCAAAAATTATATATAGGGAGCATAGTTTTCTCTAGAAATTGATATTCATCCTTGGACCATTGGACCACTTTTTGATTTTATCTATTTTGATGTTTTTTGATTATTTGGAAAGTAAATTGATTAGTATTTATGTATTTTTTGGTCTTAAGACTGGTCTTAGTTTGGTATTAAGAGATATTATATATATTAGACCATTTTTAGTATTGGATTTTTTAACTTTTTTTAGCATTTGAGCCAACGCAGTGGCGATATCTCGATGAGAGAAATCGATCCAGAGGGAGATACATCCTCATCCAGCGACGACACATGGGTTAAATTTTTGTGTTCCCTCCTGTTAATTTTGTGTTCCCATAACGGTCTCTCCTGTTATTTTTTGCATTAGCCACATTGATCATTACATATTTGGAAATTCTAAATTTGGAAAGGTACTTGGCAATCAGGATTTTTGGTGATGAATTATACATACAGTGATAATTATTTGAACATTTACAAATAATTACCTTTTATTTTATTTAAAATCTATTAAATTATCCTATCAAAATAATTTTATCTAATTATGAATCTTTTAATTATTTACTTTAAAATTTTTGCTTCACACATAAAAAAATAAATTTGTTGAAATGCAATCAGTAATAACAAATTTTAGATATGAATTCATTAAAACTAATAAAATTTAATCTGCCACAAACTTGTTTATTTGTCGATCAAAATTTTCATTTGCCACATTTGCCACGTTGATCATTACAATATTTGGAAATTTCCAAATTTGGTAAAATCCCTGACTGTATTTTTGATATTAACTTTTTTGTGTGTAACACATCATTTTAGGGCTAAACATAGTAAATTCGGTAACTTGTGCAACTTTAAAGCTCAAATTCTCCACAACAACTTGACATATCAATGAGATGAAATCATGATTTTGTAGATGAAGGTTTTGCTTCAAATACATGATTTATTTTGGGGTCCCTTATATTACAGATCCTTTGTCACATGAATTTTCCAGATAAACAGGAAGAGAATTATCTTTATTATTAAAAAAATTACAAAGAACAGCTAAGTTCATTTATTTTAAATCTAATAAATTGCATTAATCAAAGAAATGTGCAATTTGCAAAATATTCTAATGAATGTTTATCAATTATTTAATAGTTTGTGTAGGAGTAATCGAAGCTTTAAGGACAAGCAAGATCTATGAACAAAATATACTAACGAAGGTTTTATCAATAGTTTATATAAATTTCTCTTTTATTTTAACTAATATTTATTAACATCACTATAATCATTATTGTTGTTGTTTATTGTTCTAATTATCATTTACATATGTATATATAGGAATAAATGTAAAAGAAAAATTAAAAAATTAATATATTTATTTAGCACCTGACAATTTTCAAAAATCATGTGACTGTAAAATTTTTATTGCATTTTTGATTGGAAATTTTTTATCAATATTGGCAGAATGTTGTTGTTGTGATTGAATTTTTTTTTTTTTTTGGAAAAACAATTTATTTTTTACAAGACGAGAAAGCGTAAATGTTGCTGCTTGGCATGGCTTGTTCTGAAGAAGGCAACATGTTGTTTATTGATGGTGAGAGATACACAATTTTTTTTGTTGCATTGTATTGTTTCAATTGTTTTTTTTATAAATATTAATACATATACCTTTTATTTTGTATAAATATTATTGCAAAATCAAACTGTTGAAGTAGAACTTGTATTTATGAGATTCTTTGATGATAAATGATTGGTATTGTTTTTGTTTTTTGTGTAATCATCACTGATATTAATATTACAATTATAAAAAGATGATAAGGTGATATGATAAAGATGAGGAAGGAAAGGAAACATTTTTATATGCAACATTTGATTATTGGACACTTTACAAACATCAAAACATGAATGTTACTATGAGTGCATTACAGTCATTCTCTCATGTTCCTCATGTACACAAGGCTAAATTGACCTCATCCCCCCAATTATACAATGATGCAATTAAATTCCAGGGGGGGTAGTATGGCTCTGTGCCAACCTTATAAAAAAGCCTTCCAACATGTTCAGGTTGGTTTCACTCATGGAAAAAATTCTATGGTGCTGAAAAGTGCTGAATCGCACAACCCTGCATGTTTGTGATAAGAAATTTTTTGTTAAATCTGACACCTGTAATCAATATCATCAGATTTATTATTCATAAGGAACCATAACTGATAATAGGGATGTTACTCAGGAGTACTCATTGGGGTGTTACAAATTTCAATAAACACAAACATAGTTGACCACACATATAAAAAGTCATATATACGGATTTTTCGCCGATCAATATATGTAAAAAATTTTAATATAAAAATTCAAACTCTATCTCCTTCAGATTTGTAAAGTATACCACTATTCAAAATTGGTATATGAATATTTCATAACACATACTTCAAAACAACGGTTTTGATTTTTTGATTTTTTGTTTAAAAAAACGTTGTATTCTCAAAAAAAAATTTAAACAAGAATTAAGGAAAATTTTTATAAATTTTTTAAAATTCTACAACCGTTAAATGAAAGAGCAAGTTCCAAACTTTCATTTAATATCAGTTTTATAATTGTAAGAAAAATATTGGTGGACAAGATAGATTTTGAAATTTCGTAGAGATTTATTATTATTTACAGTAATATGATGATCATCACATTCTCATATTCTCTTTAATCATTACTTCAACTTGTATGTTGTATAGATCAGGGGCAATGATTTCTGTGGTGATAAATGCTAATTCCGTAAGTGCTAAAGACAAATTCCGCATGCATACCGTGCATTAAAAAAAAAAAATAGAAAATTCTAAATATTTAAACTGCATAAAGACTTCCTACTTCGTTCTACACTATAATAATAAGAAGAAATTGGTAACACTTATTAAATTCCATTTTTTATCTGCGGTACATTATAGTATTTCTGGTTTTAAACATTCCATGATTTCTGCGGCATTCTGCGCTATGCAGAAAATCATCCCTGGTATAGATAGTAATAAACAAAGTTGAAGTCATGGAGTTATCCACAAAAGAATAGAAGGGTTATTCCATGCATGACTAATTATTTTATTAGTAATCTTTTTTAACATTTCCTCTACTTGCGTAACAAACTTTGAATTATTAATATGAATTGATTTTTTTATCAATCGCGTAACAACTTTGGATTATTAATTATGATGTGAATTAATTTTACAAAGAAACATCTTTTCTGACTATTCGCGTAACCAACTTTGGATTATTAATTTTACAAAGAAACGTCTTTTCCGATTATTCGCGTAACAAACTTTGGATTAATTTTTTATTAATCACAATAAAGGAAACATCTTTTCTGACTATTCGCGTAACAAACTTTGGATTATTAATTTTTCATATGAATTATTTTTTTTATTAATCACAATAAAGGAAACATCTTTTCTGACTATTCGCGTAACAGACTTTGGATTATTAATTTTTCATATGAATTATTTTTTTATCATCATGACAGGAAAATATATTTTCTGACTGTTTGCGTAACAAACTTTGGATTATTAATATGATTCAAACAAATTCTAATTACATAAATCATGTAGTTAAAATAAAATCTTATTATTCAAACAAACCCTTCTATGAAGAACTTTGCATTATCAATTCAACATCTTGGCACTTTAACTTGCTTCTTATGAACTTCTTGTATTTTGATTCTGAGGATTGAGTAACATCAAATTAATTCAAATAGCCTTTGAAATTCCCCTCTTCCTAATTTTTGACATGTAATAATTTCTGAACAAAATAATCAAATAATAAAAAATCTTTTCACAAATTTACAACAAATATATATTCCCAATTGAGAAAAATAATAATAAATTAATACCTTTGTATCATCATTATTAACTTACACACCAATTCAACACAATCTCACAATTTATTTGTACTGATTCAAAAGTTGCGTTTTTGTTTGATCATTATAATGCCTCCTCAAAAAAAATTAAGAAACCATTTGAAAAAGATATCATCAATAGGTGTTGCAAGTTGCAGATTAAAAAAAAAATATAATAAAGATTTGCCTAAATCTCAAGTTATTGAAATTTTGAAGTCTATGAGCTCCAACGAACTCCATGAAATCATCCATGAAATTAGCTCTAATGAATTTCAAGAAATTTTCCATTCAAATGGATCCCAAGAAATTATTTGTGAAATGAATTCTGATGAACTACAGGAAACAATCCATGAAATTAATTTTGATGAACCATCCATAAAATTAATACTCTTATTCCACAAAATAAAATAGAAAAAAGGAGGAATGAGCTTATTGAGCATGTAAAAAACTTGCCTGAGAGCCAGATAATCAATGCTTATACTCTGTTTTCCACAATGACATATGATAAAGGGAACCATCGTGGAGAAATATATTCATCTTATATTCAAAAAAAGGCAAAAGAATTTGTAAATAGCAGCATTTATAAACAATCTTCATCAATGTCATCAATACAAGAAAAAATTAGTGAGATGGAAACTAAAATACATAAAATAGAAAAAGAAAAAGAAAATACTGATCTTCAATTAAGATCCCTTAAAATGAAAGAGGTGAAAGCTAAAGAAACAAAAAAGAATCATGTCTCTAAATTACGTCAATCTATACAAAAAGCAAAACAAATTACTCCTAATCAACTTCAGAATGCTATAAAAAAGATGATAAAAGAAAATAAGAAACAATATACACCTGAGTTTGTAGAGCTTGTAACCAAAATCAGTAACACTGGTAGTATTTCCATTTCATCCACTGTTGAATGCACTAGAGCAATTATGCAATTTTTAACAGGTGAGAAACCAGATCATTGGCTTTCAACTGGAACTATTTCACGTTGGAATAAAGAAGTTGCTACTTTGTGTCTTCATCAGAATCGTCCTAAAGATACCAAGTCACATTCTTATTCTTATGGAATAATGTGTGATGAAAGCACACGTGGTGATAAAAAGATATTTTTGATTTGTTTTGCTCATTGGAGTGAGGATAAAAATCAGCCCACAATTACTATTGCCAAGATGGATGATTTAGATAAATGTAATGGAGATATTGTGGCAAAAGCAGTAAAAAAAACATGTGAAGAAAATGAAATTAATCCAAAAAAATGCAATTTTTGGCTTACAGATAATACTGCCTATATGTCTGGTTCCAAATCAGGTGCAGTTGTCAAATTCAACTTGATGTGTCAATCCTCTTCTTACCGAATACCTTGTGGTCTGCATGCATTACAAATTGCATTAGTGAACTTTGAAAATACAGTATTTGGGAAAACAAATTCTCCATCAGGTCTCTCTTTAGAACAACAACACCCACATAACCTCCTCAATTTAACATACCACTTACATGATGGATATAATGATAGTAATAAAGATAGCCCTTTGAATATGAAATCTGACTTGATACGTAAATTATATTGGAATTTACTTCAATATCCTTTAAAATCTTATCAAAAGCCAATCTCAAGTCGTTGGTTGTATCAATTAACAACTGCTCAGCAATATTTAACAAATAAAGATATTCACCAAATATTTGAACAGTGGTTTGTTAATGAATTGGAACTATCAAAAAGTGTTCCTAGTAGTTATCTTAAAAAGTGGAAGGTATTTCTTAATTGGCTTGAGGACTCTAAGTTGAACATTGAAGTAGAATCCATGGTGAGATTTGGAGAAACATTTTATGAAAAAGTCTTTAAATTTTTAACTGGATTTGACACTGTACTTCGAATAGCTAATGAAGATGAAACTAAGTGCTTACCTTTGGGAAACCGTGCACATGAGATGCCAGACCAAGTTTTCATTTGGATAGATGAACTTGAAAAAGCAGCAGAAAATCCAGAATTAATTTTCAAAGAAGAGTTTGAGAATGCTCAGTCCTCATTATCTAATGAAGAATATAACAATCTGAAAAAAAAAATAAAAGATGGAATAAAAAAGGCATTAGACAGTTTTTGCAAATGGATGGGATGCTGGATCCATTTGCCATTAGCAATTTGTAGTTTAGGAGGTGATAATGGTCCAGAATTTGCTCGTGCCATATCTCGTGTGTTCTTTTCTGTTTCCTATCCCTTAAACTGTCCACATTTTCGATTAAGGGAATTTCGAAAATTTTATTGGTAAATTTTAAAATTCCACCAATCAAAATTAACCAAATTACACAAATAAAAAAATTTAATTTACAAATAAAAATAATCAAATATTAAAGTTCGTGAAAATCTGTATAACAGTCTCTTTCTTCATTAAAGCATAAAGGAACTTCACATACTTTGCACCAAATTTGAGTTCTACATTCACTTTTCACAGCCTTTCCTTCCACTCTTATCCTTATATATCTGCAGAAGTAACATGCGCTCCGAAGTCCTTTTCTAGGAAGATGTTGTCCAGGTTTATTTCTCACTTCTGGTAATGTACCATCACTTCTTATTCTTGTAAAACTACTTGTAGATGGTATGCTGTTGTCATTTTTATTTTCGCTTTCATTCCACCCTGATGTAACTAGATTCCAAGCTAAACTCATCCTAAATTCTTTATGACTCAAATTTCCATTGCATTTATTATATATTAGAAAAGAATCAACAATGGCAGTATCTAATAACCAAAAAAATATTGGTACCCAAGTTCGTCTAGCAGTTATTTGGGTGTTGTAATAATGGCGATATTGATCAGCTACATCCACACCTCCCATAAAATGGTTATAATCATCTATTACTGCTGGAATTGGTAAGAATTTTTCTATTTCATCTCCAAAAACTTCTCTAACTTTATTTGCATTTGTACTTGTAATTCTAGGACGTTTACGTTTGGTCTCTTTTCTACTTTCTGATCCAGTAATTTCATGAATTGTTGACAGCATTGTTACTGGACCATTATCCATCCAAAAGATACTCAAAACGTTATCCACAACAACACCACTAAGAATATCCCAATCTAATCGTTTTTTTTCAACTTTTAATTCTTTTGGGAATTTAGAAGAACTTGTTCGTACAGTACCACAAGCTCCAATGCTTTTTTGACGCAAAAAATTAAATAGATTTATACTACTGAAATAATTATCCATGTAAATATTAAAGGACATGTGATTTGGTAAGCTTTTAATTAAATGATATACTTCACATCCAATTTTACCTAGACCAATCACTTTTTCAAGTGGGGTTTCTTTTATTCTTGAGGTGAACATAAAAGAATAAGTATATCCACTATTATCACATAGAGCAAGGATTTTATAACCTTCAGGTGTAGGTTTGTTTTTTCTTCCTGAAAATCTAACAATCATTTCATCAACAGATAAATTTGAAGAAGGAATATAGAATTCTTTACATTTATTTAATATATATGATGCAAGGGGTTCTACTTTATGATACCATAGATCTTGCTGTATGACTTCTGAAGGATTGGAAATGTGGAAAAATCTTTTGATCTGTTCAAATCGTTTTAAGGTCATATAATTCATTATTTTATGATGAGGATATTTATCAGATTTCTTCCAATAATCTTGTATTGAAGGTGATTTAAATATTCCAGTGTATATTACTATTCCTAACCATATTTTTATTTCAGATAAGTTTAAATCAGTCCATGGTCGTCCAATTCCAGCACCTTTTCCTGATGCATATATATTTGTACTTCTTATAATAATATTCAGAATATCAACAGTAAAAAATAAAGAAAATAATTCACAAGGAAAATTTTCAGATGAGGTTTGGATATCATCGGGCAAATTTATGCTAGAATCATGTAATGGATCCTCATGTTCAAGTTTGTTAAAAGTTGGTGGTGATGGAAGATTTATTATATTTTCTCTTCCCCTTCCCCTACCTCTACTTCTATTGCTACTACTACCATTATTGGTATTGTATTCAATATTGTTATCATTAATGTCATATTCATTCATTTCATCAATTTCCATATTTCGATTTTCAGGATCAGTAGAACTAGAATGTGTTAAATCAATTGTTTCATCTTCATAAATAGTAAAAGGTTTCCTGTGAATATGACATAGATATTTATCAATATTTTCATTGGTTTCTTCAATGGACATTTTATTGAAAAATGATTGCGTGTGTAGAGATAAATGATTTAAAAAGAAATTGTTATTATTGTTGTTTATTGGTTAAAATTTTAATTAATATAATTGAATGGTTAAAAAAATAATTTAAAGAGTCAGATGAAGAATCTATGCTCTTTTATATTGTTTTCAATAATAGCTTCGCCTGTCATCTTTGCTTTTAGTGTCTTTTCGGCCATAGTAATTAGTGATCTGCAAAAAGTTTTTAAAGTAAATGATCGACACGGACGTATGGTAGACTTTTTAAGAAAGTTTTACAAACCCCATATTAATAATGGCCGAGTTTCTATATATAGATCAATGTATAAAATCCTAAATATCATTTGTTAATTAGAAAGCATGACGGTCAGAAAAAATTTTTTATATAAAAAAATTTAATCGTACAAATTTGTACGATAGCCAGTTTAAGGGATAATATAGAAATAAATTTGCATGAAAAAAAATATATAGAATTTCTTGAGAGAGACAAATCAAAAGGTATCAACCAATCTTTTGGACTGTTAGAAGCTCTTCAGGAACAAGACTTTTTAGATGAATTTCAAGAATTTTCTGTATCTGTTGCTTCAAGCCTTCACAAATTTCCACTTCTGTATGATTTTGTGAAATATAGAATTTGGTCTATTGTAGTACACCAACAACAAATCGAAGGCCTGTTTAACAAATATGATATTAAAACACATCCTAATATGAAGAAACCACTGCAAGAATCACGAATGTTGCTTTCTGGTTCCAATAAAATTCAAGTAAAAATTACAAAAGAAAATCTTGTAGCAGTTAGAAAAGAGCAGAGAGAGCAAACGGTAAATTAAATATCTTTTAATGATTAAATTGCACAATGAATACAATGAATACTTATTATACATACTTATTATACATACTTTTTTATTTATTTATTTATTTAACAAAGTGTGAGAGTAGCGAGGAGAGTTTTGGAGAAGAAACAGCAAAAGCAATCTTAAGAGAATATTTATAATAATAAGAAAACATTTATAATTATTTATTATTATTTATTATTTATTATTTATAAAATTGATCTGCATTTTTCCCAATAAAAAATCCTTACATATGATTTTTTATATGTGTGGTCAACTATGTTTGTGTTTATTGAAATTTGTAATACCCCAATGTCACATCAATTGATTTTCTATATGTGAAAATAAATTCGAAATTCGTGTCACATGAAGTTTTTTTAAAATATCTC